GAACTCAATTTTTGTTTTTATTTCATTGTAAAATTTGAATAAATATCAAAATACTTTTAGCATACTCAATATAAAGGTGTCACACATCATTTAAAAGATCAAAATACATTAATGTTGTTGTCCTTGAAACGGCGAAAGTATAATTGAAATGACAATCAATTATTTAATGTTTTGCATTAACTTGTACTATTTGCTATTTTAAATGAAAATAAAGCACTTTCTCTATTATGTGAAAATAAAAACTGTATTTACAATAAACAAAACTAAAACCGAGCATTAAAATAATTGTAACAAATAAAAAAGCAATTTGAAAACAAAACAATTTTTTTTTTTCAAAAGATGGCGTTGATGGCATCAGGTAATCTCGGCGATTGTTTGACATTGTTAGTTGCTCATATGGTCGCTGTTGCATTGTGTGTTCACTTTCGCGCCAAAACATCGTTTGACACACACATCATTACTGTTCAATTTATTGTTGTACACACTCTTTGTTTTCTGGTGTTTTGTTAATCGCACAATCGATATTATTTTTTGACCATAAATTTGTTATTACTTTTCGTTCAATATATTAAATAAAATAATAATAAAAAATGGATGTAGCCGATGTTCAAGTTGGTCAGTTACGTGTAAAAGATGATGTTGGTGTTCGCTGCCAGAAATTATTCCAGGATTTCTTAGAAGAGTAAGTAACCCGAATTGAGATCGCTTGTTCTGCGACATTGAATTAAGTTATTTGTAAATTTATTGTAGATTCCGTGAAAATGGTGAATTAAAATATTTGCAACCGGTGCAAGACCTTGTATCTCCCGATCGTTCAACGCTCGAAGTGAATTTCGACGATGTGGAGAAATATAACCAAAATTTGGCAACGACCATCATTGAAGAATACTATCGCATCTATCCGTTCTTATGCCAAGCGGTATCGAACTATACAAAAGATCGTACCGATTTGAAAAAAGCAAAAGAATGCTATGTATCATTCACCGATGTACCAACACGGCAAAAGGTTCGTGAATTGACCACATCCAAAATTGGTACATTGATTCGAATTTCGGGTCAAGTAGTTCGCACACATCCAGTGCATCCAGAATTGGTGTCCGGTACATTTGTCTGTCTCGATTGTCAAACTGAAGTCCGTGATGTTGAGCAACAATTCAAATTCACAAATCCAACGATTTGCCGTAATCCAGTATGCTCCAATCGTCGAAAGTTTATGCTTCAAACAGATAAATCCAAGTTTATCGATTTCCAAAAAGTACGCATTCAGGAAACACAAGCCGAATTACCTCGTGGTTGTATTCCACGTTCGGTTGAAGTCATTCTGCGCAATGAAATCGTCGAAACTGTTCAAGCTGGCGATCGATATGATTTCACGGGTACTTTGATTGTTGTACCAGATGTGGCCACGTTGCAAATGCCAGGAGCAAAGGCCGATCTTGGTTCGCGTCATCAAAAGGGTGAAGCGGCCGCCGCAGAAGGTGTACGTGGTTTGAAAGCATTGGGTGTTCGCGATTTAACCTATCGCATGGCATTTTTGGCATGCAGCGTACAAGCGACAACATCACGTTTTGGCGGTACTGATTTACCAATGAGCGAGGTCACCGCGGAAGATATGAAAAACCAAATGACAACCGAAGAATGGAACAAGGTTTATACAATGTCGAAAGATCGTAACATTTATCAAAATTTAATCAATAGCTTGTTCCCGTCCATTTATGGAAATGACGAAGTTAAACGTGGCGTTTTGCTGCAACTTTTTAGTGGCGTTGCAAAAACTACAAAAGAACGTAAGTCTCACAATGACTTTTTTTTATGTCGACATTATATTGAATAAATTTAAATTTCATTTTAAAATAGAAACTTCATTGAGAGGTGACATAAATGTATGCATTGTCGGCGACCCAAGTACAGCCAAATCCCAGATTTTGAAACAGGTAAAAATAATTAAACGTTGATTTTGTGACCATAAACAAAATCATCTTTTGAAGACACAATTTAACAATTAATTTGCATGTTAGGTTGCTGAATTTTCACCACGTGCCGTTTACACATCGGGAAAAGCATCATCGGCAGCCGGTTTAACAGCAGCTGTTGTCAAAGATGAGGAAAGTTTTGACTTTGTTATTGAAGCCGGTGCTCTGATGTTGGCCGACAATGGTGTTTGTTGCATTGATGAATTCGATAAAATGGACCCACGTGATCAAGTTGCCATTCACGAGGCCATGGAACAGCAAACTATTTCATTGGCAAAGGCTGGTGTACGTGCAACGCTAAATGCGCGTACATCGATTTTGGCTGCAGCCAATCCAATTAATGGCCGATACGATCGATCAAAATCACTTCAACAAAACATTCAATTAAGCGCACCAATTATGTCCCGTTTCGATTTGTTCTTCATTTTGGTCGACGAATGCAATGAAATCACCGACTATGCAATTGCACGTAAAATTATCGATTTACATTCAAAAGTCGATGCGCAACAGGTCGAACAGGTCTATACACGGGAAGAAGTGTTGCGATACATAACATTTGCCCGTCAATTCAAGCCAACTATAGGCGATGAGGCAGCTCAAGTGTTGATTGAAAACTACGGTCATTTACGTCAACGTGACACCGGTATGACTGGCAAAGGATCATGGCGCATTACGGTGCGTCAATTGGAGAGTATGGTTCGATTGAGCGAAGCACTGACCAAACTTGAATGTTTGAGTGAAGTACAAGTTAAGCATGCAAAAGAAGCATATCGTTTACTCAACAAGTCGATTATTCGTGTTGAGCAACCAGACATTCATTTCGACGACGAAGGCGATGAGCTATTGGCCGACATTGATATGCAAGATGAAAATCAACCACCAGTTACGGAACAAATAATCGAAACGGAAGAGACAGCCGCCGAAT